TAACATCACCACAAAATGTTTTGTTAATGTCAATTAAATTAATGCCAATGTAATTAAAAGCCTTTACTTTCTTTGTCTTTGTGGAATAAACATACAAATGGTTTAGTCTTAAGAAATTCCCTTTGTATTATTAGAATAATAAAAATATATATTTTAAGTCACCACAGTTATTAATAATTTTTGCACTCACAACATACGTGCTCGTGAACCTTCGATTTGTTTCAGTTTGGCCAGAATTTGACAGTCTTCACTTTGGCATTAATTCTCTTATTTACTAATATGTTTACCAGTAAGGCTTAGATTTCAGCAGTGCACAGTGGCACTGATGTTATTGTCCACAATTTTAAGCCTCACTTTATTTATAAATTTGCAGAATCTCAGCAGACCTATGTACATAGGATTGTTTAACTTAATAATTTAATAGAATAAAATTAAACTATTTGTTACTTGAATGCTATAATATGTACTTTAAATTAGAGGTATATTGTTCATTGCAGTGAAAAAATCTAGTTAATGTGCTGCGATTCACACTTTTATTTCTTAGAACTATTGTTTTATAGTATAAAAACTGTATGGGCCATCTTATATTCCTAAAAGGTGAATACAGGCTTATAAAATGTGAAATCTTAGCTAAAGAAAAAAAGATTCACTTGTTTTCTTATGTAGAAAAACTTCCTTTGTTAAATAATTTTTAAATCCTGGTAACAATTGTGTATATGCTACATGTAGGAAAAAATAGGTATTATTACAAGGTTCAAATGTCATTTCCTTGAAGATCAACCTTGAAACTTTATATTTTCTTGGTGCCATAAAATCTTTGTTGCTGTAAAATTAGGTTTCATGACTTGGAAACGCTTAACCATAAAATATAATCTATAGAAATATACACCTGAAGAGTTGCTTTTAAGGCTGTTAATAGCTAAGTATTTGTCGAATTGTTACCAAAATAAGTAAATGTTAACATTTGTGTGTGGTTGAGAGTATAATGTGTTATTTATGCTAAACTATCACATAAAGCCACTTTAATAATGATGCAAAAAAAAAAAGTCTTTTAAGGATCCTCTAAAGAGCGAAAGCTATATTGTTGTTGATAGAAAATCTAAGAACTTGTAAATTTTAAATGAATGCCAACAAAGGAGTTTTAATCTGTATCCCCTATGTTTATAAGGCCTGCCACTCAAAATTTTTCCTTTATGTTTCCATCTTGGTTTCCCAATTCCTGATTATCTGAAAATATAGAAAAGCAAAATCCTTGTGGTACTAATGCCTACCCTGGAAGCGCAGTACGTCAAGCACTTCTGTGTCACAATATTGGTTACAAATTCACCAGTGATGTTGGGGGAGGGAGAAACTAGATGCAGTCATCTAAGAAAATATTTTATTTTTCTGGCTATATGTTTTTTCAATAATACTTGAAGTAGAGCTTCATATTTTTTCTTTAAACTGTTTGAATGATTACTTGTCTTGGAATAAAGACAGCTTACTGATGATTACTTAATGAGCAATTATTAATGAACTACAAACAGAGATGTCCTTCCAGCAATGTTTTTTAACTGTGGGAGGGGGAATGTTGGCTAGAAATATTTAATTGGAACTTGTGGAGGAAATTAAGAGCGAGAACTCGTTTAGAAAATCTAAAGGCCTTGCCAGCAGGACATTCAGAGCTCCATACTTCTGACAGGTTGCCATACCCCTGAGAGCAAGCTGCCTCTTTTCTAAAGTTTAGAAATTAATAAAAATTAACTACCTGCAAATAATAGATAAAAACTGGACTTTAGAAAAGCCAAGCCCCATCCTTGTTTGTAGCAAGCATAAAACCAGATTTCTAATCTGCTCCAGCGACGACAATCACCTATTGATTGCCACAACATCTGTGCCCCTGTTTTGGGAAGCAGGGTTTTCTGGGGAGGCAGGAGTGAATAATCCAACCATTTTGGTGACCCTGTGTAATAAACAGCTGACAGATCTCTCAGGAGGGAGCCTTGAAATCTACACCTAGGCTCACTCCTTTCTTACCTATTGATGGGCCCAAATAAAAGTCCTCCCTTCAGCTTGCAGAAGTTACTCCTTTCGATAATGCAATCTAGGAAGAAGCGTCTCTAGAACTCCCGTGGACCCTCTCACAAAGAGTGAACTGCTTTGTGCACCACCAAATACAACCTCCTCCGCCCCAAGCCACAGTAAGCCTGCGCTGTGTCCTGGCCTCAGTTCAGCTGTGGGGCAGGACAAGGACCTCAAAGATCAGAGCCTCCTAACCCCTTTCTTAGCCCAGAGCTTCCCTGGGAATAAAGTCTTTTAAATACCGTAGGCGGGGGCGGAGTAGGGGTGGGGATAGGTTTGTTGGATTGGCCCCAAGGGAGACCACTCAATCCTGGACTACGTTTGCATAGCGCAAAGTGCCCCGACCCAGGACAGTTGCCAGCTGCAAACTGTGGTGTCTATGCACTGACTGGGACCACCTGGGGATGGGAAGCGTGTGTGTGTGTGTGTGTGTGTGTGTGTGTGTGTGTGTGTGTGTAATGGGTCCACTCTAAAGCCCAGTTCAAAACCCGCCCCTTCTCCCAATAAAGGTTGCTTAAGAGCCCTGCACTAGGGAAAGCTGATTTGTTGCCCGCTTTCACTTCTCAAGTTCACACTCAAGTTCAACCCCAACTCCCACAAGACGTCTGAGTAGCCTGGATCTTTTCTCAATTCCATCCTTAATGAATGGCCCCTGATGATACAGGAGGGCATTGTCCGCGGGCAATGCGAAGGGGCGATAAGGAAAGACAGTGGTCGAGAAAGGAGAGCCAGGCAGGGCGAGAGAGACCTTTTAAGCTTATTTTTTTCTCCAGCGCGCTGCCCCCAGGCCGCCCGAGAGCTAGAGCCTCAAGTTAGAAGTTGTAAGCGGTCGATGGCAGCCTGGAAAGGCTGGAGCCCTCTGGGACAGGGGTGTGGGGTTACACTGGCTTTCTCAAGGTGAGCATGACGACCAATCCCTGGCTTTTAATCCTTCAAGTTCCTGGAGTCCTTGAAGCACCGAGGTGGCGAACCCGGACAATCATTTGCCAACCAACTGCTCCTTCAGGAGCAGCAAGATCAAGCTCCAACCCACTCCCGCTGGGCGCTGCTCTTCATTCTACACTTAAGGAGAGCGTGAGAGGCTTTTATGCCCTAGGTCCTAGTGCCGGGTCCGAGCCGAGGTGGTTCTTGGTTTCAGGACCTTTAGAAAGTATGAACCCAGCCATAAGGGAATGTTAGAAGGAGAGAAAAAGGATAAAGGACAAATTGGCGACCCAGACCAGAGCAGGGGAAACCGAAAGGAGAGTCGATGGGGTGGTGAGATGGGACAGAAATAGAAAAACAAAGACAGGGCGTCTCTTACTAAGTAAAGGCTCTGTAGTGGCCAGTTGCTCAAGTATACTTTCTTGAAATTATTTGAACTGTGGAGCATGAATCCAACCCCCAAACCCGGGACAATCGGCTGGAGCTAGCGCGCACACACGGTGCCCCGCTCCCAGTGCGCTCCCACTCCGAGTGCGCGGTCAATCAAGACGTCCCACCAGGACGTCCTTGTTTCTTAGCCACCGCTGCCCCCCATCCCATGGACAGCTTTTCTCCGTTCCTTTTCCTCGTTCCCTTTTCTACCACACCCCAATGTCCAGCCAGCTAACCCAGTCTTTGCCTTTGAGTCCGGGCTCCTGGCTCGCTGTGCTCGGTCGGGGTTGGGGGTGAGGCGGGCTATCTCCCGGGCAGGAAAGGCATAGGGGGAAGTGGGTGGAAGCCGAGCACAGCTCTCTGGAAGGAGAGGAGCGATTGCAGTCCAACTGTCCCAAGGGCTCCAGAATGCGGGAAAGTCCGCAGCTGGCCATTTCCAACTTTTTGTTGTCAGGACAGGGAGGTGCGGGACATGTGAAGGTTAGAGAAGAGCCCCCCAAAGCCTCACAGAGTGGCAAGGAAGAGAGACTGGGGGGTGAGAGTAGGTGCCCAGAGGCTTACACAGAGTCCCATTTCAGGCAGGCACCCACTGGTCTCTTGGTAAAAGTGAAGTTGTGGGTGGGCACAGAGCTCAGGAAACCTAGAGGTCCCCTGCACTGCAGGAGAGGAGACAGACTAAGTGACTTCCCAAAGTCTATCAACAAGCTGCTTCCGGTGGCCCAGAGTGCAGCCAGAGCAGGTGTAGCACTCCTGTCGCTGGCGCGCCGCGGGTGCAGTGGCCAGGGTCCTGGCCTGAGGGCGCACCCAGCACCTCCTTTCGCCGCGGCCCTTTATCTGACAAAAGAGCCAGAGCCCTGAGCTCCCCAGCCACAGGTAGCGTGGCCTCCAGTCGTCTCCGGAACTTTCTCGGTACAACTTTTTCGGGGTCGCGCTTGTCCCTGGGCCGCGCGGGCTTGAGCACGCGGACCCTGCCAGGGCGCAGCGCGGGCGCGAAGACGCGCGAGAAGGACATCCTTCCCCTAAGGAAGGACTTCCCCTAAGTCCCCTAAGCTGGGTCCAGCTCCACGACACCGCCCCTCTGCCTACCACTCCGGCAAAGGGACGCGCCTGTCGACCGGGACGCTAGTGGGCCTCGTAACCTAGGGAGTGTGTGCCCGCGCGGGTCCACCCTGTCGCCCGCCGGTGCGCCTCGCGCGCCCAGCCCCGGCCAGCGGCCACTGCGCGCTTCCAGCTGCTTTTGCCCAGAGGCAATACTCTCCCAGCTCTTTCTCCATCCCGACTCAGCTTCAGCACCCGAGAGCGACGCGCAAAAAGGGTTCAGTGCAACTCAAGCACTGGCGGTTACCAACTAGCCTCTGTCCCCTTTCCGAAAAGCGCCCTCCCGCGTCCCTTCAGAACTCCCGAGAGGCACCCGCACCTTCCCCGTAACTTTCTACGCCCAGGCCATTTGCAGCACCACCTGCGAGCGGAGTGCGCCCGGCCAACCTCTTTCCCCTTCGGCCGAGTGCCTCCCCTCCCCCAGCTCCCCATCTGCCCGGAGTTGGCCGGACCCGGGCAGCCTCGGTGCCCGCGGGCTCGCTTACCTCGCATGGTGTGGCCGCTCTCCCGCTCCGCGCAGTCATGAAGCTGCTCCCAGCCCGGATCCCGGAGAGTCCAAAAATCCCGCTCAGCACGAGTGAGGACGGCGGTCGGTGGAGAGCTGCTCTGCCGAGAAAACCATCCCTTTAGGCAGACGCCGTGGCCGCAGGGTGACGTTTGCCGCCGCTATGTTAACAGTTTGGTGTTGTTGACGGTGACTGTGTTGATGTTTGTTTGTTTGTTTGTTTGTTTTTTCAGGAAGGCTGGGAAAAAAAAAAAAACCGTTCTGGCTGGCCCCGGTGCCTGGGTTTTGTTTTGCTTTTTGTTTTTCTTTTTCTCTTTCTCTCCAATGTGCTTGCTTTTTAAAAATGCCACCGCCTCCGGCTCCGAAGATTTCTTTTGTGATCACTTGGACTGAGGAGGAGGAGGAAGGGCAGCGGCAGCGGCGGCGGCAGCAGCAGGAGGAGGAGGAGGAGGAGTTGGTGGTGGTTTTGTTAGTTACAAAGAAGAGGGAGAAGGAGCAAGGGGGAAAAAAGGAAACAGAGAGGGAAGAAAGAAAGGCGGTGTGGATGGCAGAGCATGTGCGCTTTCACATGACATCTGTGCCTGTTAGCGGCTCCGCAACGTGGATTTTCACTGTTCAGTTACAGGAGGAAGGAAGGGAGCGGCGAGAGAGAAAGAGAGGAGAGACGCGGGGAGAGAGCCGAGAGGGGCTTATACGCGAGGGCGGGCTCGGCCGGGACTCCCAGGCCCCGCCTCCTGTCAGCGCCGCCGCCAACCAGCGCCCGGCGGCGCGGGGCGAAGCCGGGACCTCGGGGCGGCGACGCGACCGGCGGCAGGGGGCGGGGCGGGGGCTGGGGCCGGAGAGCCGCGGGCGGCCGGGGCTGCCTCTGGGAATTAGAGACCGGCCGGACGGGGCAGAGGAGGGCCAGGGCGCACGGAGAGGGCCGGGGCGCACGGAGAGGGCCGGGGCGCACGGAGAGGGCCGGGCAGGTCTGCAGGTGACATGCACTTCCGACGCCAGCAGAGCAGGGGACCGTGGCGGGTCCTTCGGAGGCGGGAGGCGCTGGGGGCGGGTGGGGGCTCCCTGGGCCCCGAGTTCCGTCCCTCTGGCGCGCGACGCCTGCGGGCCCGGGCGGAGTTAGTTTTGGGTTTATGGCAGCGCTTTGCCTGGCCCACTGCTTTTTCCGCAAACTCCGCGCCTCTGGCAAGGGGGGTTTCTGTGGGCAGGTCGCTCTGGTTTTAAGTGGTTGAATGATGCAAACCCACTTTCCGCCACTTTTAACACAACTACTACAATGCAGTCCCATGCGAGTCGCCGTCCGCTTTCTTTTAAAAACGTCGTTCACATACTCCCTGCTCCCCCCACCCCAGTCTTAAAAAAAAAAAAAAAGGCCCGGATCGTGTGTGTGTGTGTGTGTGTGTGTGTGTGTGTGTGTGTGTGTGTGTGTGTTCTTTTGTCAAGGAAATAGATTTTCATTAGCATCTGGAGAACCCCCTGGCGATGGGCTACTGGACTGAAGGGTAACAGCCCAAATTGGCTGTGGGGCCACCTTAGTGATGTAAGGCAAAGGGCTGGGGCTAGAAAGTGTGACTGTGTGGTGCTCTTAGAAGGGTCAGGGCTTTGGGAGGAAGAAACTTAATTTTAATTGCTACCGGGAAGACAATTAACTATTCAGAGGCGATTGACAATTAAATGTAGGTAAAGTTACTTCTCTTTCTTAGATGGGAATTGTCATTGATGACCATTTACTTGTACTTTGATAATAACCTAATACATACATCAAAACTGTTCCTTTGCAAGTTTTTCCCTCTCAGAGGGCAAATTAAACATATAGATGATTACGTCTACTTCCGTCCCTATATAGTAGGGAGGGAACTTCTTAAATATTTTTTGGTTCACTGGTTACCCTAAAAGATTGGGAGGTGGAGAAATTTGCCTCATTTACTCAGTCTGAACGCATTGAGACATCTAGTTATTAATGTACCTGTTGGTAGAGCAGGCCTCATCACTGTTTAGGTATCCAAATAATTTGATTTTTACTAGTATTTATTCAGGTTATGTCATGTAAGAATTGGCAGTTATTTAGTTAATTGCAGAATTGGCAGTTATTTAGTTAATTAGAACACTGTACACTGCCAAGCAGTTTTTAAATAAAAAAAGGGATTACTTGCTGATTTTTCACCAGTGTTAAATTGATGTTGCCTTGTTGTATGCCCTTCTATTGGCAAGCCAATGTGTAATTTAGGAAAATTTTAGTATTAAGAGAGAAAGTTGATTGAGTCATTAATTAAATGAAATGAACAAAAGGAAGTTACTGTTCAGAATAGTTATTCCCTTATAAATACCTTTCTCCTAGATTTGTAATTGACACAGTAGTTAATCTTTTAAGATAATATTTAAGGCTCCCTGGTTTTATCATTTTTAATCAAGTAAAATATATTCATCATAACTACATTAAAGCTGTACTGTTATGCCTAATTTAGTCACTTCATTAAAAATTACTGAATATAAAATAGTCAAGAAACAAATTGTGACTATATCATTTTAATTTTATGTGCTTCAAGCACAGACATAGAAATATTGAAAATTCCAGTATCTTTGTAAACATTATATAATTATTGTTGTTATCATTTTAGAATTCTATTTGATATTTCTCCTTTGAGTAAAGAGGAATTTCAAAATTCAAGTATTTTAACTTTTATGTAGTTTTAAGTTTCTAAACATTTATTGAATTCTGAAATTTCTTTTTACTGCTACAGTATCTATAATCCTTGAAAAAGGTAGTCAACACATTTATGAATGTATTTCCCCACCATCTTTTATATCTCTTTGCTTTGTGGATATAATAATGAATAATTTTGCCTAGAACATATTTCTTAATCCCTTCTGAACATTTTTGAAAAACTATTAATTAGAAATAAAGATTTAATTGTTATTTCATTTTTCAAAACTATGGATATATTATATATACATGATGCTGCAAAAATATTTTCTCTTTTATAGTTAAATAAATGCTGATCATTGGTTTATAATGTGGTGATTTGGGACATTTTAGATCTTTCTAAAAATTTTAAAAACGGAGTTCTCAGTGTTTGTAATAACTTTCACATTTATTTCAACTGAATGAAACCCATTTATGTAAAATAAATATTAAGAATCTAAATGAAAGGAATCAACATTTTTCTAAGAAGTCACTAAATATTTGTATATAATCTAATGGTTTTGTAACCTATCTGTCAGCAAATAGCCAGATTTCAAGTGGCATAATAATGATATATAATGTCCTGTTCATATGAAGTACAGTGTCAGTAATTTCAGTTAAATGATTATAGAATTGTCTGGTTTCCTATAAACTTGAAACTCTGCTTTTGGCTCTGGGACTGAAGGATATTCTAAATCGATAGTTAAATTTTGATTAATTTATGTGATAGTCACATAGCACTGTCCTCAATTCTCAAGAATTGCTATAATTTCACTTGGGATTGCCAGCTTACCTGCTTTTCTGACACATCAGCACCCCTCAGGGTGAGCTGTAAGGCCATGAAGCCATGGAGTACTGATGACAAGAAATATCCCGAAGGAGGCAAAGCTTTAGTATGAGCCAACCAGGTAGGGTGACCATGACATTTAGGATTATTTCAATCCTAAACTGCTTACACCAAAATAGGAAGTCATGCTTCATTATATTCTGAGTTGGTCAGACTATATAGAGAGAATATTTTAAATAATTATGAATCTTGAAATAACATTGGCAATACTGATAATAGTATTACATTAGGAATGACTGAAAGATTAGGTGTATTTAACCCTGTTTAGAGGGGTGTGGTTGTGAAAATTGAGAAAGATATAAAGCTGCCTTTACATATTGGAAAGGCCCAAAAAATATCACAACTTTTAATGTTTGAACCTTTTAAAAATGGAAAAGGTGAAGTACTGAGCTCCCTGTGGTTGAAGGCATCCAAGACAGGGTTGAACGAAAGGTTCTGGTAAAGATGCTCTAGTATAAAAATTTTTATAATAGGTTGAGAATTGTCTAGATTACCTGCAAGATACTCTGTAGCTCTAAGTGTACAGTCGGCCCTCTGTATCCATAAGTTCTGCATCTGTGAATTCAACTAAATGCAAATCAAAAATATTTGGGAAGAAAATTGCATCTGTTGTGAACATGTACAGAGTTTTTTCTTGTCATTAGTCCCTGGACAATACAGTATAACAATTACTTACATAGCATTTATAGTGTATTAGGTATTAGAATCTAAAGATGATTTAAAGTATACAGGAATATGTGTAAACACTGCACCATTTTATAGCAGGGACTTGAGCATCTTTGGATTTTGGTATCTATGGTACTTCCTGGAACCAATCCTTTAAGAATACAAATGGACGACAGTATTCATATAGAATATAGGTAGCTAGCACTCTCAAAGCAGCTGCATCAGAGCCAGTCTTCCTACCTGGAAATTATCAGCTCCAGGAGAGCAGAAGCCAGGATTTTCCTAGAGTTTGAGAGAGCTCCTGGTGCTTTACAGGTGCTTGAAAATTACTGGTGGAATGAATACTTTCTTTTTCCTGCTGGATGTGAACCACAAATGGAGTAAAGACCTGAGTAAGACCTCTTCTTTCTTAGTTTCCTAATAAATGAGCAGAGGTGGGGGAAGAGACTCTTTGCATTTTTAAACTCTCCTAATTTGGGGAAGAAAACATGATGGTTGAGATTGGTTACATAATTACAAAAGAAAGCTAAATCTAGTTATTTCCATATGTATTACTTTTCTCAATTTTATTAGCAGGTAGAGAGTCTTCTTCATAATCTTTTAATACTTTATGTTCTGCTTCATTTTAAAGTATGGATACAAATTCAACAAATTTTTAAAATGAAAAAGGAAAGCAAATGTTAAAAATGTGTAGCTTGTGTTTTATGTAATAAATTGGAAAAAGGATGGGCCAAAACACAAATTAACCCCAATATGTGGGATACAGGTGAGTAAAGCTAGCTAGAAAAGGATAAAACATACCGCTTAGGGGCAAAAAAGGAGCTAACTTTTATTAGATGAATCTTATGCTCTACCAACTAAGTTCTATTTCTTCTAAGAGCCTACATGTTATACTTTATATCTCCTCCTCCCCCTGCCCCTTCCTTTCTTTGTTTTTTTTTTTTTTAATAGCTTAGGAACAGAAGCTTGGAAACTTGTAACTTGTCTAAGATCACATATCTAAAAATGCTGGATCCAAGGTTCAAACCCAGAGATAGTCATTAAAATGTAAGTAAGTTCCACGAGTGCAGGAACTTTCTTGAATCTTGCCTGGTTAGTAGTAGATACTTAGAAATACACTTGTGAATAAATAAATGGACATTTGAACCATGTACACTGCATAATACTACATACCTGCATCCTAGTCACTAAGTTACATTAAATAAAAAACAGTGCATTTTGACTTTTTGAAAATAAAAGGATACTATGGAAAATTTATGAAGCAATAATAGGCTGATTTGGCCCATTAAGGAGTTTAGGAAAATATTTTTGGAATAAATATTTTAGATCATAGATAATGTAAGCCTAAATTAAATTGGCATGAGCAAAAATGAAAAAAAATATAAAAAGGTTGGATGCAGGACACATTTTGCAAGCAGAAGGTACCACATGATTAGAGGACAGTGCTGTGGGCAGAGAGTTGGGTAAGGGAAGTGTAAGTCAAACCACAGCTTTGCAAGTAGAAGGCTGGTAGAATGAATATCCCATTAATAGAAATAAGTAAGTAAGGAGGAGTAACTTCTTGTTTAAATGGAGGAAAATGTTGAGATTAATTTTTAATTTTGGTGCATCTTAGTGATCATGTCCAGCAGATAGTTGGGTATGTAGAACCAGAGATTTGGCAATTGGTTAGAGGTAAAAATAAAGATTTAGGAGACATTCAGAAACACCTTGAAGAAGAGAAACAGTATAAGATTTAATGTAAATAAATGAGTACATAAAATAATAGAATCACAGTTTTGTGTATATTTGTATTATATTTTGGATAGGGACAAACTTTTCTATATCAGGAAACCTAGACATCATAAAGTTAGATATGTCACCCTATATACATATTAAAAAATAAATGTTTAAATGTCAACGACCTCAAAACAAAGTCAACAGGCTGGAGAGAGTATTTGCTGCACATGTGACAGACAAAAGGTTAATAGCCTTTATAAACAAATGTATGCAAATTGATAAGAATTAGAAGAAAATTCTCTCAAACTTTTCGTTGAGAGGAAATGGGGGGCATAATTTAGTAGATAATGTCTTTTCTTTTTACTTTATCATTTTTTATATATAGGTGTCAATTTCTCCTTCTTGTTTATAGCTCTGTGAATGCTGTTCCAAAAGTCCCTTTCCAGATCACCTGACCAAGCTTTAAGAAGATTTCTTGTATGTATACTAAAATATGAATTAAAATGCAAATATAATAATTTTGTAGAATTTTGCCTTTCTTGCTGATACTTTCCAAAATTTATCTTAAATTGGCTACTTTTCTCTACCTCCACTGCCTTATCAATCCAAGCTACGGTCCCTCTCCTGCCTAGGGGGTGTAATATTCTCAGAATATTCTCTCCACTCCGTTCTTGTCTCTTACCTCATTAATTTTCCAATTGGCAGTTAGAGAGATCTTTGAAAAGTACAAGTCAGATAATAAATATTCCCCTGCTAAAACAACATCAGCATCTTCCTACTGCATTGAAAAAAATAACCCACACTCCTTACCTTGGCTTAGAAGTAGGGTGCATACATATTATGGTTTGCCTGAAACCTTGTATAATTATTAAAATGCCTGTTCCCTTTTCAAATGTGTTCCGGTTTGGGCAATAAGTAATAGAGCTCTGCTGTCTTAAATGTTATGTTTTCAGAGAAATTGTCCCTCATTATACCACCTAAAAGAACACTCATTTATAAAAATTTTTTATCAGAGTGTCTCTTTGTTTTCTTTATAGCACATACCAGAATTTATGATTATTTATTTTCTTTATTATCTCATTAAAGAAATAATTTATAATTAATATTATTATTGTTTTTTTTTTTTGTTTTTTGTTTTTTTTTTTTTTGAGACAGAGTCTCCCTTTGTTGTCCAGGCTAGAGTGAGTGCCATGGCGTCAGCCTAGCTCACAGCAACCTCAAACTCCTGGGCTAAGGCAAGTCCTACTGCCTCAGCTCCGAGTAGCTGGGACACAGGCACGTGCCACCATGCCCGGCTAATTTTATATATAGTATATATAGTTGCAATAATTTCGTTCTATTCTTTAGTAGGACGGGTCCGCTCCAGCTGGTTTTGAACTCACTTGACCTTGAGCAATCCGCCGCTTCGGCTCCCAGGGCTTAGGATTACAAGCGTGAGCACCACGGCGGCAAAGACATTAATTTATAATTAATATTGTTATTATCTTTTAAAAAGGGTACCACTTTATTTTGGTGTTGTATATTTTTTTCCCAGTGGCCTACAAAAAAATGAGGCTGACAACTCTAGCACATGCTTGTAAGTTTGCAAGAGAATGTTACGTGGACTAACTGCCACTTAGGATGTGTAACTATACGTTTTTTAAGAAACCTTCACATGTTTGCTAAGATGTCTACATGCCATGCACGGAAATTAAATTTCCTGTTCAAGCAATTGACATACAGTGATGAATTAAGTTGATATGTTTTGCAGTAAAATGGAGCACACCACAACCAAAGCAAACAAATGCTTTAAGTTCCAGATCTGCTGTTGGCATAACTGCTAGTAGTACGTGGAATTGTTCCTGGTATGACCTGGCATGTTTGTCCCTACAAATTTATTGTGAAGCCTAACCCCAATATGATGGTGTAGATTGAGGTGGGCTTTTGGAAGGGTAATTAGATTAGATAAATCATGAGGTGAGCCCCCATGATGAATGAGTGCCATTTAAAAAGAGGAAGAGACACCAGGATTTCCTCTCTCTCTTTGCCATGTGAAAAATAGAGCAAGAGGGCCCTGCCCGCCACGTGTATCGTCAGAACTTTGATCTGGAAATTCTCAGCCTCCTGTGAGAAATAAATGGTCTGTTATTTAAGACATTAAGACAACTACACCCAGTCTAATAGTATTTTGCTATAGCCAGCCTGAAGTCAGGTACTGCGTGAACTCAGTGGTGGTGGGGTGTGTGTGTGTGTCATAAAATAGCTATAAATTCAAAGGACAGAATGAGATAATTAATAAAATGCTCAGGTGCATAACAGCAAAAAATCATTAACTATGATAATATTTTATATAATCTTTTTTGTACATTAGCAATACCAGCATTTATTCAGATCAATTAGACTTTGTGCACCACAATGCACGCACTTCTAAACGATCAATGATGACAAAATATAAAACTACAGGCAGTCCCAGTTTATGATCCCTATTACAGCGTCTTATTCTGAATGGTCCCAAGGCTCCATAAGGATTAATATAATTAAAATTAAATGATAATTCGGAATATTCCTTCTCACATGTAAGCAACCGCATGCATAGGCAGTTCATTGGCATACATCTTATGCTTAGTGGCTGCTTAGTCTTCACTTACGCACAGCATCGCTTTGGTCTTTCTTATCGAATTTTGTGAATCTGTGTTTCCCTTCAACCACTACCTCCAAAGCAAAAGTGTAGTGCAAGTCCAGGTGAGCCTGCAGAAGAGAAAGAGATTCAATGAACAAAAGTAGCATGTTAAAGCATTCAGAGAAAAGGCAGATGCCATGCATCCCATGGAGAAACATTATCAGTGGCTGCAACATGGCAAAATTACAAAGGATTAAATGAGAATAAGAACATGTAAGGCCTCATTATACTAGCAGCATAGCAGATTAATTGATTGAAATGGAAAGTTAGTAGTTGATAATCAAATAGGATCAAAATACAGTGTACCAGTTCCTATTAGCTAGCGTTGATCATATGGTGAGTGTTAACTTGTATTCTCTTTTAAATTTCTCCGTGTCGTCCTTATCTAAACTCATTATTATTCTCTCTCTTTT